ATTCGTTCTTTTGATTAAAGCAACTAAGAATGGAATTTCATTGTCTAATTCTTTTTCTACAGTTGTGGATTTATTGTCTCCAAACATGTTGTTAATTAATTTGTGGGTATGTTCCAAATGATTTCTGTTAATCATTACAAATGTGTCATCAGTGTAACCTACCCACATTTTTGGTTCACATATGAGTAGGGCTATTGATTCTGATCTTCGCAGCATAACAGCTTCAGCTATAAATCCTGAAATGAACTATTTCGCCCGGTGGATCCAATTAAAAAAATATATAATTTACAAAATACCTTGCGATGACTGTAAGTTGAGTCATCTACATAGGCTAATCAAACTAGTAGATTGCGGGTGATTAAATTGTCGGAACATAAGAATTTAGCTAAGGTAAGAATGGTTGACCTCCAAGGAGATGAGTTATTTAGACAAAAGCTCAGCAATTTCGCTACATGCATTAACACACAACCACACAATAGGTTGGGTGGGAGAGGGTCACGATTATAAGAAGTAATCTATGTAGGTGGAGAAGGAGAGAGAGAGATTGATTACTGAATCCTTGTTCATCGAGTCCACACCCAACACATACAACAGAAATGACTCAGTGCAAATACCAGAGATATGTATGGAAGATATTATTATCACCAGTCATTCAAATCAGAGGAGGATAATAAAAAATCTTAAAATTCTATTTCAACTCAAACAAATCACAACATTCTAACAAGTTACTCACTTATTATGGCTATAAAAGCACTCGTGTTATTTCCCATCTGATTGTAATTGATCAATAACTCTCGTATTATTATTTCTGAGTGCACATTATTTTATATTAGTTTTTATTCAAATATCTAGTCAGTTCCACATATGTATACAAATGAAGGAAGAAAGTTGTGTGAGTGAGTGACTTGATGTGATTATGAGTGGCAATAGTTTGTGCTCGAAAAGTGGTCATCTGTTAATATTACTGTGTAAAACTGTGTGACTTATCAAAATAAAATCGTCTCTATAATGGAGTTATACTCTACCAAAGTTCCCAAGTTTTATACGTATATCCACTGATGTTCCTTCCGTCTGTTCGTGTATTCCATTAATGAATTGGAAATATATTTTGTGAGACATAATTCTATGAGTTTCATTCAAGTTGAACATTAGGTTTTTGTGTGTTTATCGCTATTCTACAGTGATCGTCGGATGGCTTCTTTTGTTAGGTGTTGGACCTTTGAACAACACCATGAATTCACTGGCATTCACTTGAACGTTGTTTTTTGCATTATCTCCAGAAATTAGACTGATGAATTGATATAGTGGTTACATGATTCCTTTACGTTCCGTTAGGAACAAAGAGCTACAGCATACAGTTTTCAAGTTTCGATAGCAGTGGTTCTATTTTTTTTACGGGATGGATAGGGTTGCTAGCCATCCTTATGCACAACCTTCCCTCTTTGCTAGTCTTGTTACTGACTTAACAAGCAAGGCAAACGAGTGCATCGGTGGGCGAAATTCAAACCCCGGACCACCTGCATAGGTGGCGAACATTCTACCTCTGTGCCACCGACACAATATGCTAGATATTTTAAATTTCTAAAACTTTTCCAGGTAGACTGATCGTAAAGGAATGTTAGTGTGTGAGTAAAGTGACTGATAAAGGCATATAAGTTGTTATATTATTTGAAAGATTTTGCTGATCAATCAGAAGTTCGTCTGTAATCGCCTTCGCGAAAACGCTAGGAAACACATATGATTATTTTTTTTCACACACTATCGATGTCATAGGTCAACAAAATAAAGCAATAACTGACAATAACAAGTAGTACCGTAGAAGCAAGGAAACGTGAATGGAAACCTCATTAGTTTTCTATAGTTTGGTTGGTGAGGGATTGTAAAACCAATGATTGATATCAGCCAGAGAACCATTGAAAACCAGGGAATATTGGACAGCTATTTCATCCTAGTTCGGGAATCATCGACAGTACGCACCCGTTGGGGTTCGAGCCCAGGACCGTCCGGTTACAAAGCTAGCGAGCTCGTATACTCTTCAGCCCTGGGACTTGATTCAATGGCTTATGAATTTTAAATTCTACCAATTCGTGATTAAGCACGACCCCAACCACTGTCGTACGTGGGACATCCATCCACACACGTGTCATCTAATTGGACCTCACTGGTCACGACTTCTCACCAGAACTTCGGGAAACTCCATCATGTAGCAAGTCACTAGCGACCATCGGATTAATTTTCTATTGTTTGGTTTGTAAGGGTTAGTTTTATTTTTATGAGTTGATTACGGATCATTGGTGCAAAAAAATTGGTCAGTTTCAGTCCAACCGATTTTAATGATAAGAATAAGTAGACATCAAGGATATTTGTGCTGGTGTTAAGACTACTGATTTTTTACTATCTTAAAATATTTGAAAATCCCTATTGAGTCATATGAAAATGAGAAGAAGTTCAGCGAAGAGAATCTTTTCGACGGCGAATTCCTTCACATAGCTGTACAACCGCATTTATATATAATAATTTGTGTGTCTGTGTGTACATGAGGTTTATCAAGTTTAGATAATTAATTAATCAGGTAACAAAAGAATGATCTAATATAGAAACAAGTTTATTCAGACAGCAACTATAGTAAGATTGAGTTAGTAAGTTAGATGAAGTAATATAATTGACTAAAATGTTTCTACTTAGGTCAGGATAGCAACAGAGGTAATTACAGGTAGAGACTAAGTAGAAGTGGGGTAGATAATAATGCCATTTAAATAAGAACTGAAATACAGCAAATAAGTTGGATGACGTAACATAAATGACTAGAAACTGAGCGTTGGTCAAGTCTGTAACAGGGGTAGTGAGGTGTAGAAATTAAATCGGATGGGAGGTAGAGAACAAAAAAGTTGGAAGTGCAAAATATTACAATTGAGAAGACGAAGTAATACTAATGAACAAACAGAAAAAGATTAGGTAAAATAAAGTATAATTGTATTTCAATAATTTACACACAATGATAAGTTTTGTTATTGGTAATATTTCGAGCAAAATTACTGCCCGTGTTCACACCACCAACGGTTGGAATTGTTTTATTCACACATTAATGATTTGTACTCATATACATAGTTCATTATTTTTTTTGCTCATTAATGTTTTTGTATTCAGAATTATATTCCAAGTTGTTGATGGTTGTACTGAGTCACCCTTGTTACATGTATCCGGTGTGACTTTAATGAATATCGATTATGTTATGAGTCTCTCTTTCCATTTGCTCATGTTAGTTCATATTTAGAATACACACATTGTTCCAATCGATATTGTGGTTTTTGTCCCATGCATGTGCAGCTATCGATGAATTTTTTTCAAGATTCTTGTAAGCTTGTGTCCCTGTTGGTTGACCTTTAGTCGGTTAGGCGTTTATGTTCATTCACTCTTATTTTGAGTGATGATCTCGATGTTTGTCCCACATATTTAGTTGGACAGTCAGCACAAGATATTTTATAAATCAAATTGTTTTTATTTATTTCAGTGGATTTATTTCATTTTTTACTAGATTCGTCGATTTAAACGTTGTGCGAATGACGATATTTTTGAGGTTTCTTTGAATTGCCTCTGATGTACTGTTTATATGGTATTGCGACTGTTTTTTTCCATTCTTCCATCTTGTTATTCTCCGGTTTAACCCTCTTTTTTATCTTTTTTATATTATCTTTTGTAAATTCTTTAGGGTAGTTGTTTTCGAGTAGCATTTTGAATAGGACTTTTATTTCTTTACGCTGGTCCTCTGGTGTTGTTGTAAGTCTACGTATACTATCTGCAAGACCTTGAATTAATCCTCGTTTTACTGAGAGTGGATGAGTGGACGATATATAGAAAAGCCACACATTCTGGAAGATTCCTTGATTATCGCTCAGCTCATCCACTCTCAGTAAAACGAGGATTAATTCAAGGTCTTGCAGATAGTATACGTAGACATACAACAACACCAGAGGACCAGCGTAAAGAAATAAAAGTCCTATTCAAAATGCTACTCGAAAACAACTACCCTAAAGAATTTACAAAAGATAATATAAAAAAGAGAAAAAAGAGGGTAAAACCGGAGAACGACAAGATGAAAGAATGAAAAAAACAGTCGCAATACCATATAAACATAGTACATCAGAGGCAATTCAAAGAAACCTCAAAAATATCGTCATTCGAACAACGTTTAAATCGACGAATCAAGTAGAAAATGAAATAAATCCACTGAAATAAATAAAAACAATTTGATTTATAAAATATCTTGTGCTGACTGTCCAACTAAATATGTGGGACAAACATCGAGATCATCACTCAAAATAAGAGTGAATGAACATAAACGCCTAACCGACTAAAGGTCAACCAACAGGGACACAAGCTTACAAGAATCTTGAAAAAAATTCATCGATAGCTGCACATGCATGGGACAAAAACCACAATATCGATTGGAACAATGTGTGTATTCTAAATATGAACTAACATGAGCAAATGGAAAGAGAGACTCATAACATAATCGATATTCATTAAAGTCACACCGGATACATGTAACAAGGGTGACTCAGTACAACTATCACCAACTTGGAATATAATTCTAAATACAAACACATGAATGAATGTGGAATATAACTCTGAACACACATATACACACACAAAACATGGATGAGCAAAAAATAATTATGAACTGTATATATGAGTACTCATCCTTCATGTTCACATGAATCATCGGTTTTGTGGAGAAAATAAGTCGTAGTTCAGCTGTGAAGAAGGTCTTCTTGAGTGAGCGCGACAGTTGATTTTTTAGTGTTTCCGCATATCTATCTCCATTGAATTGGAAGTTCATGTAGAGTAGTTTTTTACGGCTGCTAAGCATGGTTGGCTTTTGTGGTCTAGGATTCATAGATTTTGCAATAAATCGTTCTGGGTAACAATTTTCCAAGAGGATTCTCTTGATATTGTCCAGTTCATCCTAAAATGTATTTTTCTATTGTTTTTCATTTTAGATCCTAATAATGATTATCCTTCGAAATCAAAGAATGACTGTCGTCGTTCCACTCTGGGATGTGCTGCAACTGGCTGTTTCCCCTTAAAGCTTCATTCTTCACAAAAACCATGGAGTGCAGTAAGTGAACATAAAGAATCATACATTCCAAAATGTTCATCAAAAGAACACTCGAATTCAGCCAACACAATGAATTCAGCTTTGCTTTCAACTGCCCCAACGAATTCCCGCAGGAACTCTGAATTCAATCATAGTAATCAACAAAAGACGAGTTTTAATCAAACAAGTGAAGAGTCATTTAACAAATCACCTTGTAAACAACATCTATGCAGTCATCATAATCCTGACGAACAAAAACTGAAACATAGTGATGTTTGGACAAATCAAAATGTAAGTTGTGTTGTAGTCACATATTGATATAGAATTAAATAAATAAATAATAAGCAGATTTAGTCATTGATTTGTTACTGGGGAGTAGCCAGTGCCATAAGTCTGGAGCCAGACTCAATGAAGTACTTGATGGAAAGTAGTGCCTTAAGCAAACTGTAGTCACATGGAATCCTTTTAAAGGAACCTTAATTCCTAATAAAACGACACTCAAAACCCTTAGGACTTGAAGTCTGTAGACTGTTTATGCAGTTAATTGAGTTTTTTCAATCACCGTTGAGATCGCTTAGTTCTTTAATCATGGTAATTGAACTGTACCAAATGGATTGGTCTCATTTTGACATGCATAGAGTCATTCGAAAGATACTCGGATATTATAGGGATCAATAACCCGAGTTTACTTATTGTTACCTTGTCTCTCTGGTATATTGGTTAGGATTTCTGGCCTCCAAACAGGCTATCTGGCTTCGACTCCTAGAGCAACAGAGCTTTTCTGTGTTAGTGGTTCAATCGGAAACTGCTTACGAACCACGCTAAATGCTCCGGGATTGATTCCTGGCGGATGGGCTCCGAAACCTCGCAGTAAGCCTGGCAAAAAACAGAAATGTTGAGCTTCAAGCTAGTAACGTGTCTCTGAAACAAATAACATCCCCTCAACTGAAAATTCAGAAGGCAAAGTAATGAAGGTTTATAGTGGCGGGTGCTAGGTTCTAGTGGTAATGAAGGTGTCACCAGTCATTATAAGGGCTGGTGTATCCAGCTGATAAGTTTTGAATAGGACGAAACTCATGTTCTGCGTCTTACAGCTAGTCCTTGGCAAACCTGTAATATGAACAATTAACTTGGCAATTCAGAAACTCTATCGCTTTTTCGCGCATATGTGAAGTTCCTAATGATGACTAAGCGAGTTTTGAATACCTTATTTATTTGTGGGCAAAAATTGTAAGGCAGGAAGTCTCCCTTTAACAGAAATATTCAATCATGAATCATATGTGATATGTATCCACATATATACATTTATGTGTGTGTGTATGTTGGTCTCTCTTTCTGTTTGCTCGCTTAGTCTGTGACCATTTCACTTGTATGAACCTGTCTCCTTTAACAATGTATATTCCCCTTATATTATATATAATATGAGTGTTTGTTGACAGTCCGTTGCTTGGTGACATATATCCATATATGGTGGTTGTTGACATGTCTGCTATATTTCGCTATGTATATATGGATCGATACTCCATTATAATTAGCCATTCATGTTAAGACTGTCCAGTGATTTGTTCACACCTTTTGTCTGGACATTCATATATATATTTCGTTCTCACAATCTTGTGACTGACTTACTTTACTTTGGTGTGATACCACTTATTGCTTCTCCTTGTGTTTGGAAAATAGAAGTATCATCGCAAACCTAGTGGTCTTCTGATTTCCGCCTTCTTGTGTCAGGACTATTAAATTCTCGACCAGTCCATAACAATAATTTGGCGACGAGTACATAACAATATAAGACTCACTTCACCCAGTATATGTTGACTGTCATAAAATGGCATGGAGTCAAGCTCCTATAAATGCTAAGCAGACTGTATGAAGCTGGAGGGTGGGAATATGTTAGACTGACAAGAGGACTTGAAAATCCACTCCGTGGAGGATTTATGTTCAGTGACACGTAAACATCAAGTGACAGGCTCCTGTATGCAACTAGAATGGTAAACTACAAGGTAAGCTGGTTAGGGAAAGTAGTTTATCAGATTACTAAGTAGTGCCAACTTATCTCTCATCTGATGACCAATCAATACAAGGCAAAATAGGCAGAATTACATGTCGTACTATACTGATGGGTTAAATAACTTCCTCAAGGAAATGCAGTTGCTTCTTATGTCTAACTGAAGTAACAGGAACCAGTAAGACCAAGTAAATGTTACTGACACATTACACATTCGAAGTCTGTGTGTACTGTTTCCTGCTATAAAGTCAGCAGATTCTGAAGTGGTAAAGGGAAAAGTTGTTTGTAGGATCATTAGGGGAATTTCACATCATGAGCAGACAATGGTTAGAGAACCATTAGAAAACCAACAAGAAACACTGGACAGCCGTTTCGTCCTAGTTTGGGACTCTTGATCAGTAAACACCCACCCACCGGGGTTCGAACCCAGGTCCTTCTGGTTACAAGCAACTGGGACCCGATCTAATGGCTCATGAATTCTAACTTCTGCCAATTCACGACATACCACGCCGCTGATTGGTGCGTACTGATGAAGAGTCCCAAACTATACTGACGAAACAGCTGTTCAGTACTTCCAGCTGGTTTTCCAATGCTTCGCTAACCAGTGTCAGCTCATGATGATGAAATCCTCCAACAAATCAAAACAAAATCCCTACAAACCAACACTTGACAATTAGGGGAATATTTCTAAAGATAGTTCAAAATGAGAATAGGTTGTCAGTTAAATAGTTTCCGCAACTGCAAGCAGTACTGACATATTTTCTTTTCGAGGAATTTTATTGATTACGAAATCCATTATGAAGTGATTTCATTTAAACAGTCAATGTGAAGCCAGCCTTTTATGTGGAATCCTCCAGCATTCCTCATTGATACTCCCACCAAGGATGGTTGAGACTGATCTTGAAATAAATTGAACCCCCGCATGATATTATTACCTGAATATTATTCTCATATGCGTTGGTGGCACAGCGGTTATGATGCTTACCAATCATGCACATGGTCCGGGGTTCGATCCCCCTGCCAACGCATACCTGATATTTATGTTCGGCCTGCAAAATTTGGGCTACCGATATCATATACTGAAAATTCCATACCTGTACCAAAAAAAACAGAGTGGAATCAAGCTGTAATAAAAAAAATTAACTACTGGATGAAGTCGCCTGCCCGTTCTATGAGAGACGTTGTCATCTGCGAGGTTCACCTAATTGGTTATTGAAGACAAATACTCGCAGATAACATAGACCGCCGGTTGGGACACCATATAACGCTAGGTGTGGTAGCAAACAAGTACAGATGAAGACTCACAAACAGGCACGAAACATCCATCCAGTATTCCATGTTAATTTTTTGGTGTGTTTCTCTATTTGAAATCAATTCGTTAGCCGTCCTGAGACAATATAGGTGTTTTAAGCCGGTGAAGGCAATTAACAGTGAACGGAACCGAACCCTGATTCCCCGTTACCCATTATTTTCATGGTAGGCAGATCACCTACCAACAAATTGATAGGGCAGACATTTGAAAGATCCGTCACCAACACAAGGCCGACTGTGATCATTATAGTTATCCAGAGTCATCACAGAATTCAACAGAGACAGCCGAAACTGCCCCCGGTTGGTTCTGTTCTAATAAATGCGCCCAATCGCTTGTGGGTCAGGGCATAACTGCATGTATTAGCTCTAGAATTACTGCAGTTACCCATGCAGTATGTATGATCTAAGGAGCCATAGCTGATTTAACGAGCCGCCTGCGGTTTCACCGTTTTAAGGTATGTACTTAGACATACATGGCTTAATCTCTGAGACAAGCATATGACTACTGGCAGGATCAACCAGTTTATTCACAGAGTGATACACCCATTGACTGGGTATTGGTTTTCAGGAGAACCAAAACACACCCATCCCTGCCTCATGCGAGACGACACCGGCATGCAGGATCATCCTGCGGCGCATTCACTTGAGAGCCCTCTCCCTCGGTGGACCATTCGCACTGTTAGTATACATAGTAATGCATAGGTAAGTACTGTTACGCCGATCATTGATTGCGTCAATCAATTATGCACTGCACAGACAAGCTCAATAGAACCCATCTCGCATACAAGACTAGCTAAATGTATTATTACATACAGAAGTAGCGAGCAAACCGACGCCATAGTGACAATAGGCCCCTATAAACACGAAGCCAGCAGCCACCGTCAAATTCAGTGAAGTCGTTATTCCTGCCAAACAATTTAGCATGCAAATATCTTTCAAACGCCTCCCAAGACTATAGAAAACCATTTTTTACTATTATTGCTCCCTAGGATTCCTAGTGGAACATAGGGCTTCAACCGCACATATCCACTTGCTTCTCTCTTCTGCTGTACTTTTCACCTGAATCCATACTGCGTTCATACTGCGTCCATACTGTTTCAACTCCTCCTCTTCACACGATCTCCTCCATGTCACCCTCTCACTGACGTCCAACTCGCCGCTTCCCTTTCGGCCTGGTTGCACACGAGCAATGGCCTCACGCGCGCGCGATGTCACCAACCGGCCTCCTCAGCGAGTGAGTGTCCAATCCATCTCCGTGCACTTTCTCCTGCATATTTGTTGGTTGGCGATTGATTCTTCTTTTGTGTGTTCCTTCCCATAGTGTCTTGTTGTTGGTGATTCTTTCCGGTCTGGCTACCTAATCTCCAGTATAGAGCCAGCGAAGACTGTTGTTGATAAAGGTCTTCCACTAGCTGTTGGAAGTATTCTTTGTGACCACCCGCCACGTTTCTGATCCGTATAGAAGAACTGACTGACTTGACGTTTGTGTTGAAAATCCGATCGAATTTCGTTGTTGATACTGAGTTGAGTGACGAAGATTTCCAGATTGGTTGTTTCAGGTTAGTGAATGTGCTTCTCTCCTCTCCGATTCTCGCTCAATTTGACATCCTCGTCCGTTCCTCCTCCTGTAGTTGAGACAGTGCTCCTAGATATGTGAAGTAAATGAAGTAACCTCTTTCAAATCCCTCTCGTTGATCGAAAACCATACACAGTCATATAAGCGAGACATGAGAACCACCTAACCCACCCTCATATCGTCTATATAGCTTACGCTATGTTTACTGTAGGATTTTAGGGTCATAAGTTAGACAGCCTCTCTGGGCGCTCCCAGGCCTAGACAAGCTCAAAACCTCATGGTCGTAGATACCAAAACACGTTTCACTCATTCCCCTATCATTTGGAAGCATTTTTGAAATTTTTAATTTTTCGACTTATCTGGACCTTGAGTTAGGGGTAGTATCCTGCCACCATT